ATCTTTGTATAATTGGAGAAAGTTCTGACACATCCAGTCATTGATTTGTGCAATGCACTTACTCAGTGTTTGAATTGGAGCATAGTCTCCTGGTGAAATTGTTACGTAAATGTGTCTGTCATCTGCATAGCTATGGTAACTTATGTTGTTGTTTTTCATTATCTGAGCCAGTGGTAGCATGTAGACGTTAAAGAGAAGAGGCCCCAAGATGGAGCCTTGAGGTACCCCACATGTCATATTTGTCAACTCAGATGTGTATTTACCTATAGAAACAAAGTTGTTTCTGTCCTTTAAGTAGGATTCAAACCAATTTAGAACTGTTTCCGAAAGTCCCACCCAGTTTTCCAGTCGGTCTAGTAATATGTTGTGGTCAACAGTGTCAAACGCAGCACTGAGATCTAATAATACTAACACTGAAGTTCTGCCACTGTCTGTGTTTAAGTGGATGTCATTGAAGACCTTTACAAGAGCAGACTCAGTGCTGTGGTTTGGATGAAAGCCTGACTGGAACACATCGAAACAGTTATTTAAATGCAAGAAATTACTCAACTGTTGAAAAACAACTTTTTCAATGATTTTACCTAGAAATGGGAGGTTTGATATGGGCCTGTAATTGTTCATTACTGAAGCATCTAGATTATTCTTTTTTAAGAGCGGTTTAATGACTGCAGTTTTCAGGGCCTGTGGAAAAATACCTGAGTGAAGAGATGTGTTTACTATATGAAGTAGATCTGAGGCCATGCAAGGCAAAACATCTTTGAAAAATCCTGTTGGAATAATATCAAGGCAACAGGAGGAGGATTTCAGAAGTTGAATAATGTCTTCTAGGTTTTTATCATTAATCTGATGGAATTGTGTCATGGTGTTTGAATTGATTTTAAGTGGACACAGAGACAACACATTCGCTGTACCTGATGCAGAGGCACTGACTGCTTGTCTGATTTTCTGAATGTTGTCAGTGAAGAAGGAGGCAAAATCATTGCACGCCGTGGTGGATAGAAATTCAGAGGCTACTGACACTGGGGGGTTAGTTAGTCTGTCGACGGTAGCAAACAAGGCACGTGCGTTGTTTTTGTTTTTGGTAATGATGTCAGAGAAGAACGATTGTCTTGCGTTTTTCAATTCCAAATTATAAAGGCCAAGTCTCTCTTTATAGATTTCAAAGTGAACCTGGAGATTTGATTTTCGCCACCTACGTTCAGCTTTTCGACACTCTTGTTTCTGTTCTCACGGTCATGGCCTTTCTCCATGGAGATATTTTCTTGCCAGACACTTCCTTTACCTTAGTTGGAGCAATGGCATCTATAACATTTTTAATTTTTGAATTAAAATGATCTACTAGCTCATTTACTGAGATGTTAGCAGGGGCAAGTGTGGAAGAAAAATTCTGAAGGGGAAAAACACAAAAGCATTGTACACAATTTAAACCTATCAATGTTGTTTAATTAACAAAGGTAATCTGGTGTTTTTGAGTTGATGAGTAGTGCAGATATCACTGTCAAATCAATCGACAGTAAGGAGAATACTTACTTCCGGGTGTACAATTCTCCGTTATCCAATGGGAATGGACGCTCACATTGCCTTTAAGAGCTGCCGACATAAATGGATGCGGTGCTTCCCTGAGCGTCAAATCCCGCCACCGATGTGAATACATTGCAATCAGTTGAAAGCTCTTTGCGTCCGTTTATGAAGCTGAAGGAGCCTCGGCGCGTCACAACTGCACGCCACGGGACCCTGACCAAGCGACGCTCCTGGACGCTTAGGAAGTGGCCCCAGACCAGTAGGGGGCCCCCGAGGGGTGACACATCTTTTTTTTAATGCAAATTTCAGAACAACAAATTCTACAAAAAATACAATTAAACAGACATCATACATTGCCATAAGCCTTCATCAAATTCAGTTCATCTACAATAGTGGGGGCCCCATTAAACTGCGCAACGTTTGCAATGACAGACAGTAGGAGACCTCCCTAATGGGGCCCCACCTTATCCAGGCTCACTCCGGTCAGTGTCGCAAATCGCGTGCATGATTGTTTACAAAATAATCCTGATGACAAGGAAAGGCACTGAAAAATGAAGAGAAATTATCTTTCTGGAAGCGAAAAAAGGAAGAAGAAAAAAGATGAAGATGAGAGAAAAAAACAAGACAGTGGTAAGTAAGTTGAGTAGATAACGATGAAATACTAAATAACTAAATGTTGCTAGTCTAACTTTAACTGTGGGATAGAGAAACTTGAATCATGTAACTTCCACTAGAATCAAATGATTTATTTAGTTTACTTTGACGTTTAACATGACATGAGTTAACCTAGCAGAATTTAGCTTAGCTAGCTGGCTGAAAGAACGTAGAAGCTAGAAATTACAGTTGCCGTTGACGTGTTAGCTTAGCTTAGCTAGCCGGCTGAAAGAACGTAAAAGCTAGTAATTACAGTATTAACACGTCTTCATTAATCTTTTTGGCATTGTTACTGAAATAAACATGGTCTCTGCCATTTTTACCAGTGGCAAACCGTCAGGGCCTTCAAGGTATTCAGAGAATACCCAGGAACACTCAGATAAAACAAACAAAAAATCGATTTAATTATATAAATACAATGTAATAAAATGTATATACAATGAATAAATGAGAATCGTATCTGTGTTGTTGATCTGTAATATTACAGTGTTACGTTGATTTGTTTGTCCTTCTCGGTCCATGCACTACGCATTTCAGTGGTTTTGTGTTAGAAAAGAAAGCAACCAATCAGATCTTGTTCTGGGTCTCTGGGTAGAATATCCTTCAACCAAGGTATTCTACATCCTTGATCGAATGCCCTGGCCGTTGCACTGAATGAGAGCGTGCGTTTGGACTGACAGTTTGATCAACCAATCATATATTGATTTGTAGCCAATGGGCGTATTCTTCAGAGTTTCCCTCGGTTCCAGGGTACTCTAGAAGGCCCGCTAGTTAACTGGCTCGAGACAGAGGATCTAGATGAATGCGACGAAGCAATTCATGCCGTTTTATTGTTTTTAACGTTGAAATGACAAGTGCAACAGGTGAAGATGAAGTTGTTGCGCAATTGTTGTGAGTACCCTTTTCAAGACGACAATTCAGTGAAAAGACGGACATTATAATGCCGCGGCGGGGGGTGTGTGTGTCTACAGAAGGTCCAGTTGAGATAGACACGGTTCGCCACTGATTTCTACATTAACGTTTAATCCGTTGTTTAATGGGACACCAGTAATGGAGTAATTTGGAGGGGGAAATCAGCTAACTTTTTCTCTAGGCTAGTTAACTGATGAAGCTGTGTCCGACTGAGCTAACTGTCAAGTTATGTTAAATTAGGAAATTTAGATGCAAGACATTTGTACAAGTGTAAGCTGAATATGAGGAATTTGAATTATATAAAGTGAAAGCATTTTGAATTGTTAACATGTTACTGTTATAAGTTTCACTTTATTATCTATCCTCAGGATCCTTTCTTAAGTTTCTGGCAGCAGCAGCAGCAGCAACGGAAAAGGTGCCCCCTCCAAATGCTGATGATGGTAAGTTAAGTATCCCACTTTTAATTGATTATACTGTGCATTGCACTCCAAAGATTCCTTGTAACATGATATTCCCTGTTTCTTTTTTGGTCATAGCAGTTCAGTCAACATCTACCTCCAGTGGGGCGTCAACATCTGCCTCCAGTGGGGCGTCAACATCTGCCTCCAGTGGGGCGTCAACATCTGCCTCCAGTGGGGTGTCAACATCTGCCTCCAGTGGGACAGCAACATCTTCTCATCATGAAGATGACACATCACCCCCTACCTCCAGCAGCACTACCACGACTACAAAGGGTTTGATCACATCAGACGACCCTGCACAATGGCCAAATGTTCTAAATGATAGTGAAAAGTGTGCACTAGTAACAAGAGGACCAATACAAGAAACAGATATAGTCTTTCCGCAGAATACTAAAAAAACTTCACGTAGATTTACAAAGGAAAACTATTCTGGTTTTGATTGTTCTTTATATTTATATGTGTGATTTATTCGTTTTTGTATGTCTTTTATATTCATATTACTAACTAATAACTAACTTTGAATATAACAAATGCGAAGTTGTTAAATAAAAAACGGTTTACATTTAGCCATTTTTTTGTTGGTGTCATATTATTTCATGGTGATGAAAGCTGGTTCGAGGGGCCCCCAGTGAATGTTTGCCTAGGGCCCCCACATACCCTAGAATCGGCCTTGCCGTTAGACGTGAGGTAAAGCGCTACAGCTGACAGCAGGACAGTATTTACAGTTTGCATAAGTCTTCTTTGTTTTCCTCCTTCAATGTTCTCTTCCATCCAACTGCCATGATATCCGCACTGAAAACACCCAGTGAGTTTCATCTATAGCCTCCTCGTGGGTTGTACCCGCTCACCAAAGGAACACAGTGCAATAACAGGCTCATTGCAAATAAATCATTTTGATATCTCTTATTCAAAATTCTAACTATAACTTATGTTTATATAAATATTTGAATTTTATTTTATCTTTTAATTGCACATTCTTACTTTAACTTCATGTGTTTTTTACATTTTAAAAACATGTAATTGTAAAAGCACCTAACTTACTTTGAGAGGTCTGATGCAGAGACCTCAGTCTGAGCAGCGTACCTACAACACAGCTGCACTTTGCTTTCTTTTTGTAGCTCTGTTTACAATTACTTGATGGCTTTCCTTCATGATGCCTGGGATAAAAGCTCTAAGCGAGAACAAATTTGAATCCACATAAGTGTCACTTATGAATGACAGCCTTTAAGTTGCAGCTATTGTGGATGTGGCCGGAGGCAAAGGAAGCATTTATATTCAGTGTTTGGTGAATAATTCTCTGTGGGAAACTGAATAATAGCTTGTTTGTAGAAAGCAGTGAGCAGTGTCATTGAAGTGGTGACAACATGAACTGTGGAATATGAATCATGTTTGACTTGTCACTGACAGAAAGACACTTTGTCTTCATGTGTTCCATTGTCTCCATGTGTTCAGGAGAGATGGGGAGGGGGTGCGAGTGTTCTGGGACCGGCTGAGAGAGCCCTCCTTCACCTCCAGGTGGAACCCCTTCGCCACGGACTTCCCATTTGTCACGTTCACCCAACACCCCGTCAGTACCGTCAGCGACTCTTTCTCTGATCTCTGCGACGTGAGTTAATCCCCCAGTGATTACAGTTTACTCAATCTTCATAGACACTTTCTTATTTACCTCTGCCTTTTCCCTTGTGCAAAGCAAAGTGGCACGAGTGTGAGCAGCTTTGATGATTCTGAGCCTGAGATCCGTGTTGCTGGCTCAAATGTGGCTAAACAATCCTCTTTAGTGCTCAAATCATTAACACCATGTTTTTATTGTATTAAAGAACTACAAGGCAAAAGGTTTGGAGCAAATGGTTGAACTTCTGCCATGGTTCAATCACTCACTCTACTCCACATGCATTGATACTGTAGATAGTCTCGAGGCGTGTTGAAATCCAGTCTGTCTTTTTAGGCTTCTATTGAGCCTCTCCACATGACTGAATGCCATGACTTGCAGTCAGATGAGTTGTGTTTTCTTGTTGATAAAAAATAATCAAGAGTTACTTTAGAACAAGTTTAAAATGTAATGCAGATGGTTCTTAAACAGGAAGTCAAGAGTTGTCTGATATCTTCCTGATCCTCTCACGTCCCACAGATCCAGAAGTTTCAAGAGCAGCTCAGGGCTGCAGCGCAGAAAGTCCATGCCGTGAAGCCGGTTCCTGGGAAGGCCAACGGCGTCATGGTCCTGAACGAGCTCATCCACATCGAGGCCTACGTGGGCCTCATGTCTTTCCTGGGGAACCAGAACAAACTGGGATACTGCATGGCTCGAGGAAACATTGGCTTCTGACCATTCTGCATTTATACAATAGTTTTGTTGGAGATACGTTTCTTCACAAAGAGTTTATTTAATTGTACAAGGATGATTTTGTATTAGATTTTTGTATGTCACATTGAAGCATGGATTTTCAGGATGTTCTATATAAGGTTTGTAAACCCCCCCCCCCACTATTTATACCAGAGTGTGGTGTCGTTTTCACACCGCTCTGCACCGGATCCCTGCTGCTCTCAAGGCGCTTTGTGTTTGCTCCTCATGATATGCTAATCTAACTCGTTCACAAAGGGAACTGTTCTGTCTCTGTTAAAAGCTCATTCCCATGCCATTCGGCCCCACATTTGATGCTTTAGTTTGATCATATAAAGTGTATTTTTACAGTGCATACAGTGCTTCGTGTGTTGACTGTGTCGCTCTGCCTCTTTTGATATCACCTGTTCGTCTGTTGAGCCTGTGATTGACAAGAAAATAAAGGCATGAATATTTGGTTCTGTTTCCTTTGTTGTGGAATAAAATATGCAGATTTTGAGAGCAATTTCAATGGACATAATGCATCATTAACGCCTGAAATCACAGCTGACTGCAGGACAGAGGAGAACAGATTTAAAGTTTGACTTTAGCGCAATCATTACGATTGGCTGCTAGAGATTGTGGTGAAATGTAATTTCAAATTAGAGGAATGCAGAGGAATGTAGCGCAGCTACGGGATGGGGTCCTCTGTGTCCTCTCCACTTTCAGGGGAAGGGTCAGACGAAGAACGAACAGACTCCACCACAAGCATCTGATCATTTCTCTAAGCATGGCTTCACAACGAATATTCTTGTTACTCCTGTGGCAATCTCTGGTGCTATCATCCCCTTTGTGGTGTGATTGAGGAGGAGATCACTAAGCACTTTAGTGAACATCAGGCTTTTTCCATCTAAATGGTTTTGTAGTCCTTCATACATCTCAACCTCATCACCATCTTGTTGTTCCTCTGCAGCTCCTCTGCAGCTCCTCAACCTCCTCAGCAAAGGACCTCATTGATTCCTCTGTATCAACGTGGGATTCGGGGCAGAATTGTTCCTTCTTCTCTGCCCCCATCTGATAAATGAACTGTTTGGCAAAAAAGTGTTTTATCTTTGTGCTGACTCCTTTCAAGCACAGGTCAGGCAGATCCACACCAGATTCTCCTTCTCAGGGTGTTTCTGTTTCAGAGGATGAGTCCTGCAGCTGAAGTTATGGGCTCCATGAGACCTCTTGTCCCACAGAGAAGCTCCTCTTCATCTTACTGCTTGTTGCGTATCACAGGAATGAAATGACCATCCAGCCAAACTACACATATTTGAAGCTTTGCAGCCAGGTGTTTTTATTTACTTCAAGGAGTATATGTATCGCTGTGTATGTCTTTTTGCTAAAGAGACATTATCAAAGGACTTTGAAGTTCCAAGCAATTCAAAACATCGAGGTCAAGATCATACATCTGTTTACCTCAAAGACACATGAAACAGCACAAATGAAAAACAAAATTTCATGAGAGCACACTTACTCCTGTCTCATTCTCACACACAATCACTCACATACAAGGTATAAGGAGGTTTAATATGTAAGAGTGTGCATGAGTTTGGGAATGAGGGAGTGAGAGAAAGAGAGAGAGAGAAAGAAAGATATGAGGTGAAAACTGCGACTTGCTGTAAACCAAATCTACTGTATATTGTTGTCTCTGTACACACACACTGTACATCCAGACACACACACACATTTCTCAGCTGATACCACTCTTCCACATCCATACCAACACACCTACATCATATTAGTTGCATACATGTATTCCAATGGCTGGCAGGGCCCCATTATACAACAGGCAAAGAAACCAAGAAATTACAAGCATGTAATTCAATGGTAAAATGTCACATCTGGTTTTTACAGTAAAAAGGACAAATGTAACTATTTTCCTCCAATATAAAACCCTGACATTACAAAATGCATGATTTTATACCGGTATGGCGGAGAGATCAAAATATGTGGTTATAATGGGAGTGGATGGGACATTTTTGTCCGCGAGTGGCTAATGTGTGAGTTTTTTGTTCAATCTGATTTTGTGCAAAAACTAATAATGCAAAAAAATCAATTTTGTTGCTAATCTTTGACATATCCAAGACTGTTATATAAAAAGAAAGAGCCAATCTCCAGATACAGTATGTATTTTTTGCAAAGTAACTCATTTTCTCTGTTTTCATCATGGAAAAAAACAGCGGTTTCATGTATTCAAAATGGCATTTAAAGGGTTACAATCCTGAAAATGATTACATTTTTGGTATTTTCTATTAGGGTGGAAGTTGCTTTAAAGATTGAACCCAAAAAAGTTGTGAAAAAAACCTTTTAATATAATGAAAGTCAAAGTTTAATCAAAGTCTTTTGCAGTGGACATTTTTGTCTCGAATGACTAATTTGCGTAGTCCAATCGAATGATACCGGAGGGTTCACAGATGTGGATGAATGATGTGAAATATAATCAAGTGTTAAATCAGACTTTAGTTCCACCTGGACTAAATCCACAAGCTACCCTGCAGTATACAAAGTCATTCAAACTAGCTGCACCTTTACCAGCTTTGAGAACACTTTAATGATCAATCATTATAAAACATATCATATATTATTCTGAAATCCAATCTGCACAATGACTACTTTTACTGTCGCTACTTTAACTATATTTTGATGATCATACTTTTACTTCAGGAACTCTTCCTACACTATGGTATTTGTTTACTTAACTATAAGATCTGAGTACTTCTCCCACCTCTGCACACCTGATGTGATAACGTTACTCGTAATTGGCGCAACAGAGCTACGAGTTAAGGAAGTCGAAAATTGTGCATTTCTCCGACTGAACATGACGCCTTTTGGCCGGCTGTTTGGACAGACTACTCTACTCGTGTCAACGCGCTAACGCGAAAACACTATGGCAAACGAGCTTTGTCCACATCGAGCCTTGTAGAGTGTCTCTATACTTCTGAACGCTCCGTCCCCGGCAGATCTCTGTGTGCCGCTGCAGCGTGTCTGTTAGGCCCCTCCCCCCGCACACAGAGAAACACAGGGAGATCGCTCTTCTGGAGTGAAGAGATCGGAAATAATGATATTGCAAGTTAGAAACGTAAGATGCATTTTGACAGACAAGACGGACAATTGGGGGGAAATATCCTGCATTTTGAATGTCCGATAGTCCACCATTAACACCTTAGTCCCATCTCGTCAACGGAAACTAAATATCCATTTCGTCAAAGTTTTCGTTATCAAGAATCTATTTTTAGCTCGTCATCGTCTCGTCTTAGTCATGTAAAATAGGTTGTTGACGAAGTTAACACTGGTCAGTAGCTCAAGTAGGCAACAGCTCCTATAGCTACTGAGGAAGCATCTGAGAAGATGCAAAGTTCTCTTCTAGACAACGAGACTGGAATGTAGCACCTCTGTATGTTTAGGTCTTGAGAGCCTTCAGAGAGTCCTTCCATGTGTTCCTTCAGTTTATTTTTCAGGGATGAGTGGAGAATCCCACTCACTCTGTTCAGATGAGAGCTCCCTGACTAATGCTTTTCCTTGCATCGTTATGGGTGCTACAAACCCAAGAGGGTCATACAGACTGTTGACTATGGACAAGATACCTCTCCGTGTGAATGGTTTTTCTTCGTTGGACACCAGGAACGTGAAGCTGTCTGTTTCCAGGTTCCAGGAGAGTCCCAGGCTCCGTTGAAGAGGGAGAGGGTCAACTCCAAGGTCCAAATCCTTCAGATCCTTTGCACGATCTTCTGCAGGGAAGGCTTCTATCACATGTCCACTATTTGATGCTACCTTGTGAAGTCTCAAGTTGGACTCTGCCAACATCTTTCTGGTTATTGTCAGAACATCTATGGCTCCTTCAGATGTGGTGAACGAGGTGAGGCTGTCGTCAACATAGAACTGCGTCTCCACAAACTGCTTTGCGTCAGATCCGTGTTCTCGCTCACCTTCATGCGCAACTCGCCTCATGCAGTAGATGGCTACCTGTTATGAACTTGGTTACACAAGGATAAGGACTCAAATGCACGACCCGGGAGCCAAAGGTAAAGTACAATTAAGATACTTTATTTGCACAAAAAAGGTAACAAAAGAAGATCACTCTTAAGAGATGACAAAAAAGGTTTGAGCAAGGCAAAACAGAAAATCACTCACAACGTGAGGAACTAAACTTATAATAAGTTTCAGGAGCCAACATAGGCTTTGAATCAAAACGAGCTGAAGAGCATAGCTCTGTCATGAGGACAGGACAAGACGAACTGACACTGAACGCTGGGAGACTGGGGAATTTAAACACTCAACAACAAGACACAGGTGAACACAATCAGGGGCGGGGCTGATACTGATGAGGGCGGGAGAACACATGAGGAAAGGGAGTCAAGGGACCTGAAATGAGACGTGACAAAAACAAAACAGGAAGTGAAAAACAATACAAAATAAACATGAAACATGATTGACTAGCACTTTTGACGGTGCACAACAGTACCCCCCCTCTAGGGCCGACTCCTGACGGCCCAGGCCGATCATAAAAATCCTGAATCAGGGTTTTATCCACAATAAACCTCGCAGGGACCCAGCATCTTGCCTCGAGACCATAACCCACCCAATCCACCAGGAATTGTTTTCCTCGACCCCTATTGCGGACCTCCAGCAACTTGCGGACCTTGTACGTTAGGCCACCTTCGAAGAACTGGGGTGGTGGAGGGGGCTTGGAGGCGGGAATAAGCGTGCTCTCATGAACTGGCTTTATCTTGCTGACGTGGAATGTAGGATGTACCCCCATGGGTTTGGGAAGTCTTAGGCGCACAGACACCGGATTGATGACTCTTGACACCGGAAAAGGCCCCGCAAACCTTGGAGTCAACTTCTTGGAAGCCACCTGAAGTGGTAGGTCCTTGGTGGAAAGCCACACCTTTTGACCCGGTTTGTAGATGGGAGCGGCCCTGCGGTGGACGTCTGCTACAGCCTTCATCCGAGTCGAACCTCGAAGCAGAGATTGGCGAGCTCCAGCCCAAACTCGGCGACAGCGTCTAATCAAGGCGTGAGCTGATGGTACCGTAACTTCCCCTTCGTCGGTTGAGAACAGCGGCGGTTGATAACCATTGGCACAATGGAAAGGCGAGAGACCTGTGGCCGCCGTGGGAAGAGTATTGTGGGCAAACTCCACCCAAGTGAGGTGGTCGCTCCAGTTGGTCTGGTTCTGGAAAACGAGACAGCGTAGTGTAGTCTCCAGTTCCTGATTCAGGCGCTCCGACTGTCCATTTGATTGAGGGTGGTAACCTGAAGACAAGCTGACAGTAGCGCCTATGAGTCTGCAAAACTCCTTCCAGAAGGCTGAAATGAATTGTGGACCCCTGTCGGAAACAATGTCATTTGGAAATCCGTGGATCCTGAATATCTGGTTCATCATGACCTCTGCGGTACTCTTGGCAGAGGGGATCTTGGTTAGCGGAATGAA